TACGTACGTACGTACGTACGTACCGTAGATACGAGTATACGAGTACGAGTACGTAGAGACGTAGAGTAGAGTAGAGTAGAGAGAGAGAGAGAGAGAGAGAGAGAGAGAGAGAGAGAGCATACGATAAACTGTGAAATACTGTAACCGGCTGAATGCTCGCGTTACGTGCTGCGCATGCGCGGGTGCGTAGGTCAACATTTGGAAGATCCCACACGTAATTCATAGTAAAAATGTACAAAATGTTATTCGTATCACATGCCTATGTACACCAAGTAACACACTTTTCTTCGACGAAGTAATTAGTTTACAAATAAGCGCATTCGATGAAGTGCAAGCCTAATTATAATTCCGCGTATTTATTACGTTCACACTCGACTCTCCGGTTCCCGCTGTACATATGTAATTCACACGTGTAAGAGCTACATCATATAGCTAACAAGCTGTGTTCTGTCATGAGGCTCTCGACAGAAGAGGCAACCTGCAGATATCAACGGTAATACACAAGTAAGCCTGTAGAAGACCCATGCTTTTGCGGAGGATAAAGATTTAGGCGAAAATCGAAATATAAGAAATCACCGCGCGCAAATGAGCAGACACTATTTTTTCTTTGTCAGAGATTCAAAATAAAAATTATGGTGTTCTATTGCTCACTTGTCGCCTGTCCTAAAAACAAAACAGCTGAGATATTTTCGAAATATTCGCTAGTTTTTGCAACATTGATTTTTCCCACAACGCTCTATGCCATTAGCATGCAATAATGGTACTGTTGCGAGCACTGTCCAATAATTCTGCAAATTCCACGTCGTTGTAGTCGCGAAAAAGAAAAGAAAGTCTGTTCAACGAAAATGAGATAAGAAAGACAGAATCGTTTCACTATACGAATTACCGATATCTATTGAGTTGATGAATGCATTTGAGTTGGAATACTGGAGCGACGCTCTATATTCTATATACGTGCAGCTGGGCGCTGAAAACAGATTACCTGTATTTGATAACGGCTTGTTCGCAACGTTCGGGTATAGATGATCGAGAGAACTGAATTGGTGAGCTGAATTACATTTACCGCGCATGAGCGCGAAAAAAGCCGATTTCATTTAGTTTTCCATCGCTCCCTGCTAGAGTCGAGCCCCCACTACGTGTCTGTAATCGCTATACATCCGGGTGTCGGTAGCAGATTTGAATTTGCAACAATTTTGTGAGAATAAAAATATACTCGCCTCTCGGAAGCCAATGGGATGCGAGTGTTTCTAGGGGCACGTCGTCGCTAGTAATCCAGGGTGTAAGTGCGAAGGTGCGGGACTTGTATCACCACCGCTAGCGCGCCAAGTGGGCTCATGCTGTAGCAGCGCGCACTCTGCACACCCGGTCGGTAAAATAAGTGACGTCATCGGAGGATAAATCTTGCTGTTTTAGCTAGCACAACAGCAGCGGTCAATAGCAACCAGCAATACTTCAGTCACGCTATGGAGATTCCGTCAGTGCATAACCAGAGTTCAGGCTGGCTTTATAGTAACGGCCAATTATAGCCTGGTTGTAAGGGCAACGATAAGTTAATTTTGCTGTCTGAGAAAATCAATGACCCGAGATCAACGAGAACATCGATTTTGCCAGTTTGCAAAAGTTAACCTTGCTCGGAAAAGCCAGAAACTAATTGCTTCATTGCACGTTAAGGGATAAATCAGTGCTGGCCAGTTGATTTAAAAGAGCACAGATAAGTCTGCATTCTGATGAATATACATACAGACGATATGAACTCAAGATGCAGTGGTTAGTAAAGTAAAGGGTGGATGGGGGCTAAGCTTCGCATAGTTAAGGATTTAGACATTCAGCTACGCCCATGCTATCGCCACAGTTTTGTTATAATTCTGAGTCGGGGACGTCTTATTCAACCCTTCCGCTGTGCCAGTGCCCCCAAGCTATGCATTTTCACTTCCGTCGCTGCGTGCACGCCTCGCAGACCTACGAAAAAGTCAATATTGACTAGTTGCTAAGACTGCAATTTAGATCGGAGAATTCCGATTACGTCTGTGTGGTCAATCGAATTCGAAGAATATAAGTCAAGAGTTTAAATATCAACTCTAGTTAGGGCAACAGCAGCGCATGTTATACATGGATTTATGCATTGAAGCAATCATCGGAAAATGGCGAGCACTAGCAGTAAGAGATGTTGTATTTAAAGTCGAATTGTTGCGATTTATCCTCCAACCACGGCGCAAGCACACAGTAAAAACAACTAACAAATAATTAAAGATTGTGTCCCGACTATAATCGTCAATTCATTTCGTTACTGGCAAACAATATTGACAAATTTTTAGCATAACTAATAGGAATGCGTTGAATGCCTTGAATATTTTAAACGGATTAACAAATGTCAATGTTAGCTTATTATTTTGGACAATTAAGGCAATTTGGTCAGTAGCTAGCCGGAATAAATGTTAGTCATACAAATAAAACGGTCGTTTTCTGAAATACTGCAAATCGGTCAAGTTGTATATATATATATATATACTCAAAAGGATGATATCCTATACGTATATATATATATATATATATATATATACTCTCCCCTTCCTGCTATAGGCATTATTTGTGAAATACTCCATACAAGTCGCCTCCATAAAGCCGGGGGGGGGGGAGAGCGTTCGCATTAAAATTTCGTTCTCGTTTTTGCAATTTTCTCCATATTCTTACTGCGAGCTGTGATCTAATCATACGCGCCGTCGTCGTCGCGCGTGATCGGACTTCACACTCTTTCACTGGCGACCGTATCGCGTACATCGCTGTCATGCAAAACGATGCGAAACTTGACCGATGACTTTCAAAACATTGCGCCGGCGCGTGAATAAGATGAATCCAATATCACGCCGCGGCTCGTGATATTGAGATAACGTATGACATTCATAACAGGAACGGCGCGCGTAACAACAAGAGTGGCGTTTAGAATGCCGCAGACTAGATGAATGATGTGCCCGCTATAGATGCGACGTGGTCATATAAACTGTGCGTGAGACGTCGGGATAGTAATAACGATGAGATAAGGCTTACGAATCGAAATTAAACTTCAACACCATGAAGCAGATACTTTATTGGGATGCTACATTAATGTTTGCTCCAGCTGTGTGTGCATCATCCGAATAAGATCGAAGTCTGTGGCGTACGAATATAAACTGTGCGTGCGTGCGTGCGTGCGTGCGTGCGTGCGTGCGTGCGTGCGTGCGTGCGTGCGTGTGTGTGTGTGTGTGTGTGTGTGTGTGTGTGTGTGTGTGTGTGTGTTTTATGTCATTGGAGTCTTAGGGTGGCGGCCTGTGGACACGGTGGCCGTGAATCTAGTTTACAAAGGAAATATAATTAGCAGTGGAAAGTGCACGTTGTTATATTTGAGCGTCATACAATTAGGTGTTATTACAGAGCAGGCCTACGTGTTTGCTGCCTCTCTCGAAAAATGAGACTGATATTAACTGAAGCAGCCACTGAATAGTTTGAGCGTTTAGAATACTACTTGTCATCTCTTACAAAACAGACAACGTTAGCCAGCTTTAACCCTGTTCCGACAGAATTCTACCATTCATCCGTTGGCTAGTATTTCCCGTTGGCCATTCTAGATAAGATCGGGATAACAGATGATCGGATATAGACGAGTAATTTCCAACAGGGGCGTTTGTTTGTTTGTTCCAGTAGTTAAATAAACAAATAGAAATTAATAAATAAAATACAAAAAGTCAATAAATAATATATCCTCAAATAGCTATAAAACTGGGGTTTCCATACATAATCGTAACATTACACCGGCACGATCTGCATGCTGCAAAAATCGTATGAATGAGATACAAAAAAAACGAAAATTTCGTATGAATTATGAATGGTTATTAACCAATTTGCCGAAATATCTCCCCGGGGTGTTCTCTCCAGCCTGTTACAGGCATTGCCACTCTTACCCGCCTTAAGTCATTAGTATCCATATATACTGCAATGTAAAATTATGCCACCACGTTTCAACATGTAGAACACAACTGCAAGTTATTGCATCGCAAAACCGCATCGACGCAAGTTTAAACTGATCATGAGTTGGCCTTCTTTAGAAACGCTGCCCTATTGTTTATCGACGCTGCCGCCTGAGGTCGCTTCCTCGTTCCCCACTTGCACGTCAGGATGCGAATGAATGTCCGCCTAAAGTTAACGTTGCAGAGCGCGTAGCACAGCGGATTCACGGTGCTGTTTATGTAACACAGGTAATAGCTGAAATTCCACACCGGATCTGGAATGCACCTGTCTCCCTCGCAGAAGGTTTTCACGAGCACGAAAATGTTATAAGGCGTCCACGTGATGATGAAGGCAAGCAAGATGGCCGTCAGCGTTTTCGCAGCCTTCTGGTCCTGCTTCTTCTCCTTGTTCTTGCGCACGCGCCGATTGCGTTGCGACTTTGCCTTCACGGCCAACTTAGCACCGAATTTCGCCTGAACGGCGGCGGCGCGCAACGCCACGTCGTAACTGGGAGGGGGCGTCTGCTCCGCCGCAACGCGGTCGACGGGCAGCGACGCCGTAAGTCTCGTCGCGTTGTCGGCGGCGACGAGAACGATGTGGTCTTCGTGGTCGGCGACGACCGCCGATGGCACCGGGTTGTCGGCGATCGTCGGCCGCCGCTTGTCGCGACACGCGTCGTTGTCGTCATCGTGGTCGTCGTCGCGCTTGTCGTCGTCGAGCCGATCCGAGTACATCGTGATCGTCGGCTTCTCGGCGCCGTCCGCAGCGCCATCTCCTGGCAGCTTGATGAGAATCGTGAACACCGACTCGCTCGAGTCCGTGTCCGTGTCGGCGCCGCGCAGCGCCATCGCCGTCGGCGTCGCCGTCGCCGTCGGCACGCACGTCGCGTCGCGCGACCCGTTCTGCCTCTTCTCCATGTGCATGAGCGGGATGAGGCAGTTTGCGCGCGGATGCTTCTCCTTCTCCCTGTACTTGGCGGCCTTCGCCTGGCTGATGATCGCCTGCATTGTCGCGGGCCGCAGCGGCGTCGACACAGTGCTGTGATCCGATATGTGCATGTTGATCGAGCCTATCGGCGAGCCGGGCGTGTCGCTCGACGTCTCCTCATCGAGATAGTCGTTGTCGTGGTCGATGATCTTGCGACAGCAGTTGAGTCGGTCGAGCAGCGTGCGCTTGCCGTGCGAGTGTCCCCCGCCGCCGCTGCCGGAGTGCGCGGCGGTCCCGTGCTCGGCGTCACCCGTCGTCAGCTCGTCGACGGCCGACTCAGAGTCGCTGCGCGAGCGCTTGACGGACACGCGCGAGTCGTGCTCGGCGTCGGACAACTGCGACTTCTTGCTGCCTTTGTGCGACGCCGACGCGCAGTTCGAGTTGCGCACTGCCTGCAGGCCGGCGAGGTCGTTCTTGCGTTTCTCCGTCTCGAGCCAGATGCGCCAGTAGAGAATCGTGATGACGGTCACCGGCACGTAGAAGGCGGCGGCCGCCGTGCCGACGGTGATCGTCGGACTCGTGTAGAGGAACTGTATGTAGCAGTCGTCGTCCGGCACCGTGCGCTCGCCTTCGATGTGCGGCCACGCGAAGATCCACGGCGGCCACAGCATCAGCGAAATAATCCACGCACAGGCGATCATCAGCGAGGCGCGTTTCGGCGTGCGTCGCGCGCGATACGTGAGCGGACGCGAGACGGAGAAGTAGCGGTCGAAGCTGATGATCATCAGATTGAGCACGGACGCGTTGCTCATCAGATAGTCCATCGCCAGCCACGTGTCGCAGACGATCGGCCCGAGTGACCAGTAGCCCATGAGGATGTACATCGTGAAGAGCGGCATCGAGATAAAGCCGATCGACACGTCGGCGACGGCGAGACTCAGCAGGAAGTAGTTGCTCACCGTCTGCAGCTGCTTGTCCATGCGAAACGAAATCATCACCATGAGGTTGCCGATCGCCGTCATGACACTCAGGATTCCGGCGCCGAATGAGAAGAGGATGAGCACGGCGAGACCGAACTTCGACCGGCTCGCGTCGTCATCGGTGTCGGTGATGTCGGTGACGTTGGCGCTTGCGTCGGTCGACGACAGGTTGCCGAAGTAGGCGTTGATGATGCTGCTCGAGCCGTTCCACTCTGCCGCCGCCGTCACCGCTGCCGGAGGAAAGGTGCTCGGGTCCACCGTGACGAGGTTCATATTACTCGATCATTTTCCGTCGAGCTGAGCTGAAACGACACGAACGGCGAGATTTGGTTTATATGCGATGTATGTAGAGGGTAGGCACGCACACACGGACGCACACACGCACGCACGCACGCACGCACGCACGCACGCACACGCGCACGCGCACTCAGGCACGGGGCAACGAAGGGAAGCTTGAGGGGGAGGAGAGATACAGCTAGAAAGCTGTACGCGCACACACGCACAGGGCGAAGGAGGAGAAAATTACACACGGGCATATAAGCAGACGTCGACAGTATCAGTGACAGTGACAAACAGTATTGTGACAGAGTACACAGAGATGTCGCTACACGCACGCGCGCATTACTCATCCTGCTGCACGCACGCGCGCATTACTCATCCTGCTGCACGCACGCGCGCGTAAATAATCCTGCTGCACGCACGCGCGCGTAAATCATCTTGCTGCACGCGCGCGCGTAACTCATCCTGCTGCACGCACGCGCGCGTAAATAATCCGGCTGCACGCACGCGCGCGTAAATCATCTTGCTGCACGCGCGCGCGTAACTCATCCTGCTGCACGCACGCGCGCGTAAAGCATCTTGCTGCACGCACGCGCGCATAACTTATCCTGCTGCACGCATGCGCGCGTAACTCATCCTGCTGCACGCACGCGCGCGTAACTCATCCTGCTGCACGCACGCGCGCGTAACTTATCCTGCTGCACGCACGCGCGCGTAAATCATCTTGCTGCACGCACGCGCGCGTAACTCATCCTGCTGCACGCACGCGCGCGTAACTCATCCCTACTGCACGCACACACAGAAACTGAGCGGCAAAGAAACTCGCGGCGCTTGCATCCCGCGATTGATCACGCCCACGCGGAGGACGACGGAAACAATGAGCGATGTTGTCGCCGTCAGCAAGCAACGTAAGTGTATAATGTGTTGATGGCTAACCGCCGGTCGCGCCGTGGCGTCGCAGTGACGTCATCACTCGCGCGCCGAAGCGATTATCGCGCGGAAAGCGAGAAGGGGCGGAGGGAAGAGGATAAGGAGGAGGAGGAGGAGCAGAAAGAGGAGGAGGGGGAAGAGGAAGAGGAGGAGGGAGAGGAGGAGGACGAGAGGAGAAGGAGGAAAAGGAGGAGGAGGAGGAGGAGGAGGAGGAGGAGGAGGAGCAGGATGAGGAGGAGGAGGAGGGGGAAGAAGAGGAGGAGAAGGAGCAGAAGGAGGATGAGGAGGAGGGGGAGGAAGAGGAGGAGGAGGAGGAGGAGAAGGAGGAGACGGCGCTCGGACCCTCACGCGGTTGCGCGTAGGTGCGACTATTTGCACGCACACGTCATCGCAGTGAACAGTCGTCATCGTTGTTATAGTCATCGTCGTTGTTGTAGTCGTTGTCGTTGTTGTCGTTGTCGTCGTCGTTGTTGTCGTCGTCGTCGTTGTTATTGTTCTTGTAATTTATATCATCCCCATTCGCTCAAACGCAAACATTCGCAATACCTTGCGGGCAAGAGCAGTAACAACGAAAACAAACAACAAACAACAACAACAACAGCAACAACAACAACAACAATCAACAACAAACAACAATCAACAACAACAAACTTTAACAGCAAGCGGCAACATGACACCATCGCCAAAATCACACCCGATAGCTTTTCTCTTCAACAGGCGTGCACGTTGGTGCTTCGCTGTCGCTATAGCTGCTACAGCCGACGTCCGCGCATCAGACTTCACGACGACAGACCACGCGTCTGCTTCTATGACGCAGCCGACAGACGGTGTGAGGGAGACACAGGGAAGCTTCCCGCATCCGCATTCCGCTCTCGTGCTGGGAATTGCGGGGGAGGGAAGCCAGGGCGTGCATGCACCCACCCACACAATGTCTAAAATTAGCCGCGCCACGTCAACGTGAAGATTTTTCTTAGCCGTGCCATCGATCGGCGTTCGGGGGCTGGTTTTGACCGGCAATCATCTTTACATTACAAACCCGGCGTGTGTACATGTTTGTGTGTGTGTGTGTGTGTGTGTGTGTGTGTGTGTGTGCGTGCGTGCGTGTGTGTGTGTGTGTGTGTGTGGGTGTGCGTATGTGTGTGCGTGTGATTATGCGCGCGTGCATGCGTTCGTGCTCGTGTCTGTACGTGTGTGCATGTACCAGTGTGCATTACACACAGGTTTCCTGACTCATCCGCTCCATGCACCGGTCCCATCCACTCTCCCGAACCGCTCCGATCTGCTGAACTGTACTGCTGCCTTCGTCATGCTACTCGACGGGAGCAAGCTGATTGCGGGCCAAAGTCAACACCAATCAGTCGCTCTTATTACCATCACGGCGACATTCATTTGAGCACGCTTATACCAACAGCGAGGCAGCGGAGCGCGGGCCGCGGCAAGTAAGAAGATGAAAGCACGTTGATCTCATAGCCGCACGCGCGCATGTACACACGCTCGCTTCTAAGACGAACATACAAATAGCAGTACACGCATGCACGCGCGTATACAGATAGCCTACACGTTCATATACGCACGCACGCAAACTTACACATACACACCCGCGCGCTGGTTAAAACAGATAGACCCACAAGCGCACGCGCGCATGCATGCATGCAAGCTAGCACCTATACACACAAACAACGAGAGACCTAGACGCACGCACAAATACACAATATATATACGCGCATATAAACGTACGCTCACGTGTACCTGCTCTTTTGATGCTTTATTCTGCTGTTTCAATGCGCGCCTTACACGACGGGTCCCACTTTACACCGTGCCCCCGTTCACTTCTAGCCTGACTCGTGTACGTATATGCGTTTCGCACAGTCATCCAGCTATGCCGTTAAAAGCAGTTACATCATAATCTCTAAAGCTCTACGTCACTGCTTGACACCGAATTTTGAGCTGAGGTACAACCGCCCATATGTCCCGCCTGTCGAATAGCGGAAATACTCGCTAATGTGCATACTCCACGTTGTTTCCAGTTGATCTCTAAAACACACAAAGGGGACGACATTGACCAGATGCCACCACGACATCGATCATTCTTTACTTGAATGCGATTCACGGTAATAGCGACACACGTTTACTACCGTAGTCTCTACATGACCCGAGCCCCGCGCGTGTGACGAATAGTGGTGTCTATCTATTCCACATATGAGCAGTCTTTGTGTGCCGGATATTACTGAACAAAGGCTTTGTGTCGTGTTTGACATGATCGTTCTTATTCAGATCTCAGAATAGATCTCAGAATCTATGATCTGAGATCAGTGATTATCTCAGAATAGATCATTCGTTATTAATAAGGATTTCGAATCGCGACTGTCGTGGCGTATCAAGCACGGTGTCTGACGTTATGAAAATATCACCATAGCAACTCATTTCATAGCTCCAAAATGCACCAATCTCGATTTTACGTCATAACAATAATGCGCTGGCGCCTTACAGCAATAAGTGCATTAAACATTCATGGAGGCATATAAGTGCTGCACGAGACTACAGGAGTGGGTTTTTTTGTAATCTGCAAACGGGCAAATTGGTATATTGATCACAAGTAACGAATTAATCGATGGTGCCAAAAGTCACGCGAGGTGTAATTGTGATACGAATAAAAAGCGCCTATTTGTAGTTACTGGCTGCTGTGTACACAAGCTTCGCGACAATATTACTCCGGTATTCATTCCTGCTATGACCGTTTAATTATATGGCAATGAAATGACTCTCATCATTTATGTGTGTGAATCGGTGGAATACAGAAGCACGCCAGCAGTATAATGTTCGACTGCAAACGACACCAAAATAAATGAAATAACGTATAAAGTAAACTATAGAAAGGATATGTCGGAATGAACCGTTGAATATGCTATGCAATATGGCGGCAGGCGTCGGCGAGAATAGCAGAAAAACGTTCTGGTTCGTGATGGAATCAACGCGTGACACTTAATTAGTAAGCCACATCCAGCTGGAAATAGATTTTCGAAAACAACAACAACTTTTTTGTGCGGTGGTAATTCGTTTGCACCGATATTCTGCGGTTTTAAAGTGATGAAGAAGAATAGAAGGCAACGTGGATATAGCACGACGTACTGTATATGGTACGGCCAAGTATTTACGTCGTGCAAAGACAATCGATTAAAAGGAAAAAAGCCGGGGATATTGCGTGCACAATACCTTTATTGATGGTGGCAATTAGATAATTTTATCGCTCAACAAAAATAAGGAATGTGTTTCGCCTTCATTATTGTTTCAGTTTGCATATCAATGCTTATAAGAAAGCATGGTTAATTTACATACAGTTCGTGTAGTAGATCCACTATAACTCGGAGAGATAAATCGCATACGCAAATCGGGTCTTAACTCTGTCGGGTTTCTTAGCCAATCAGTGCGGTATTGACGCATAACGTTGTATTTCTTTCGAGTATTATCTATTTCCTCTTCTTTTTCTTTCTTCTCGTCTTCATCTTCTTCATCTTCGTCTTCTCATTCTTCTTTGAATTGCAAACTACAGCTGAATTTTTCAATTCCAATTTAACTGATCTGCTATCGACATACAGATAATCGCATTACTGCGTATGACATCCCGTCAATTTTAAACTATGGCGTCGAAAATACTTTAAATCACTTGCTTCGCGTATAAATAGATTTGGTAAACCCAAACCAAAATAGATCGGTAGCACGGACGCTGTTAATATTCGATTTCCATGTTAAAGTCGCTAGCATATTATATTCCCCCGGTAGCAGACGAACACTCGCTGTCACTTACGGCACATGTAGGTTGCTTGAAAGCAGTTTTACCCCGTACAGACTACGAATTTTAACTAGGAAGCGTACAAACTGCATATTTGACCCTACTTTAAATGAGTCATCAGTTCTCCCACCGCTCAGTTCCCTGCTCTCCACGTCAGCCCGCAGACAGCGAGGTACGGCGAGCGTACAATTACGTGACCTAAATAAGGCTATGCGCATGCGCATTGCAAAACTTAGCGCGCGCTAGGCACCAAATTGCGTACAGACACAGCTTA